GATGAGTCAGCACAAGTTTAACCAAAATAATCTGACCTAGCATGTCTAATAAGCAGGTGACATGGCTTTTCTTATTAATTCCATTGTTTTGTCTGAATATTACTCCTCTGGTCCTATTTATAAGGCACTTCCAGCATTTTTCACACAGACCAAGGAAAACCTTAAATTTCATTAACTCATTTAAATTTTAATAACTTTTCAACTTTATCCCTATTTAATATACATTATACCTCATATAAACAAAGTCAATACAATAATAAATGAGGGGTAAATTTGTACATTCATACAAAAAATTTCTCTCAGTGTCTTATAAATAGGACCAAAAAATATCTTCTCTCTCTACCCTATAAATAGGACCAGAGGAGTATCTCTGAAAAAATTTCTTACTCTGAAAAAAATTCCAAGAGCCGAAGAAAGCATTTGTTGAACAGAGAAAACAAAGCAGTGGCAGACGAAAAAAATTCCACATCACCTGCTTATTAGACATGCCAGGTCAGATTATTTTGGTCAAACTTGTGCTGACTCATCAATTTCACAGTCAAAGTAACAGATCTGTTAGCATAGGATACCGGTGCACCATTTTAATCACTTTGAGGGCAAAATTGCACCATAAATTACTTTAGGCCACTGGGTGCACCTGGAAAAATACTTGGAGGTGCTGGATGCACCTTAACCTTGAAAAAATTTCACATCACCTGCTTATTAGACATGCCACATCAGATTATTTTGGTCAAACTTGTGCTGACTCATAAATTTAACGGTCAAAGTAACAGATCTGTTAGCATGGGATACTGGTGCACCATTTTAATTACTTTGAGGGCAAAATTGCACCATAAATTATTTTAGGCCACTGGGTGCACCTAACAAAATACTTGGGGGTGCTGGATGCACCTTAATCCTAAATTGAAAGCAAGTTAATAAGGTTTTGTTATCAAGCCACCGTTTGATGTCATAAAGTTCGTCAAGTCATGAATACAAAGATGAATATCGTACAAATTTGAAATTCAAGCTTGAAGATCCACCATAAAGATCCCAACTTTTTATAGAATCAAACTATTATTCACTCATTCACTCCTGAACGTTCACTGGTGGCTGCCGGCTGAAGTCAAGGTCTCGCCGGCGCAACACATCAATGTCGGGTTTTGGCTACCCATTACCGTCTTCTCCACTCTCAGTCCCACAAATTCAAGTATCAATGTGTGATGAATATAAACTCAAAGGGAGAGTTTAATTCCAAAAGACTAGCTAGCCTACGAAGAGGGAGGGCCTCTTAAACTAAAAAACCCCACAATATTTATGAAGCTTCCTAATGCAGAACTTATAACATAATAGCAGGGAATAACAGGGGAAGATGACGGCCCAAGCTGGACAATGGGGAGTGGATTGCAGAATTATCACCAAAAAAAAAAAGTAAAATTGTACCCTAAAATATTTTAGGAAAAATCCCAATTAAATCCATATGAAATAATGAAGATGAGTCTCAATGTAATTTTTGAAACAGTAAAATTAATTTTGATAGATATTCAAGAATTTCATGAATCTTTTATTTGATTTTTTCTCACAAAAAAAAATTTTTGATCCTGTTAATCTTTGACATTTGAAATCGTAAAATTTTTATTAGTTCCCATATTTTTGTAATTCTATGGATATCTAAAAATTATGTATTTTTTTTATCTTGACTCTTCAATTTTTTTTATTGGCCATAATCGTGATTTTTATTTTTTTATATGATAATATTTTTGGCCAAATTTTCATATGATAATATTTAAAGAAAAAGACATGTTAGTTAAATTCAATTAAAAGAATTAAAACTAAAATTAGGCTTTTTAATTACAGAGGGCATTTGGTCTTTTAGCAACATTTAGAAATCTCCAATTAGGCATCTTGGCCTAATTAAAAATTTGTTAAAAATATAGGCTTAAATTAGGATTTTTCTATTTCAAATGGATTTAATTAGAATTTTTCCAATATTTTAAGATGCTAAATGGACTTTAAAAAATATTTTAGGATGCTATATGCCTCTTAATCCCGTATATATGCCTAACCAAAATATATACTTTTTATTCATAATGACTGTTAGCCTGAAATAAGTACTGGTAAGTTTTTATTAAACTTGACAAATATTTGACTGAACCCATTGAAGAACAGAACTCGAATCGTTGGAGAAATAATACGAACAAATTAGACAAAGAATAATAAATAGATGGAAAGAAGAATGATAAAACAAAAATACAAATATAATTAAAAAAAATGTTATCACCCTCTTTTATTGGGACGAACATGAGAAAATAAGAAAAAATGAGCAAATTACAAGTATTTCAATGGCTGAAATACCTTTCAATCTAAAAATATATTATGTTTAAAATCAAATTAAATGCCATAATAAAAAAATCATATAAATATTAATATCATCCAATAATTTAAAATCAAATTATTTGATAAATATATGTTAGTTATTTTAAGAGAAATTCTTTTTCAAGGTAAAAATAAAAAATAATAATTATTTGAAGTGAGATATAATAAAAAGAAATAAATGAATTAGGTGAAAATTTTATTATAGTATCATGTAAGCAATTTGATTTCCATTCCTTCCAGTTTTTCAAATTCATTTCTCCTCTCATTTTTCTCCTTAATTTTCTTTCTTCCCTTATTTTGTCTTCATCCAAACAAAAGACTAGAGGCTAGTGTCTTTGCGTCCTCTTCTCTCAGCGTCCCTCAGCGTCCAAATCACAGCCGTTAAAATGAATCTAACGCGGATCATATTATGCCACATCATGGTGCTATTAAAAATTAGAAATAAATCTTAAATATAGTGTAGAATTTTTTACTAGATTTCAACTAGGATATTTTTAACATGAAATATCCAATTTTTTTCACCAGACTTATTTTAGTTAAAAAAATTTATAAAATGTTTAGACTCCAGACTTATTCAGATAATCATAAAGAATAAAAAAAACTTAACCATCATATATTTATATATAATTTTTTGGATTTATTGATCTTAAACTGGAAGATTTATCTAAATTCAATATGATATAGATCGAGACAGAACTATAAAGAGTGGCAAAACTATATCAAGTATTTTATTTTTTAAAATTTTTAATTAAAATACTTGATAGCAGAACTCTACCTCTTTTTATGATCCTATCTTACTCAATTTATATTAATTTGAACTCTTATTAAACTCTACAGTTAAAACAAATAGATCTAAGAAATTAGGTGGTGCACTCAAATTTCTTTTTTCAAAAAACTAGTTCTTTTTTTTTTAAAAAAAAAAAGCAATTTTATAGCATTAATTAGATTTTTTTAATTTTTAATAGCTTGATGATGTGGCATATTGTGAGCTTTTAGATTAATCTGATGGTAGATATTGGGACACTGAGGGACGCGCCGCTGAGACAATCCGGACCCGTCTTTGCAATGCCATAGGAGCGGGAATTAAGAGGGCGCCAGAAACCAATGTTTTAAAAGCCGGACCAGAAGTCAAACCGGAAAGATCAACGGGTCATGGTTCAATCAGTTGGATCGGTTGGACCGTTCGGTTAGACCGGTGACGCAATAATTAATTTAAAACAATATTATATACATATAATTAGTATATATGAAAAATATCAAATTATTAAATAATTTAGAAATGCATTTAAATAATCTAAAATTATAATGAAATCATTGAAAATGGACTAAAACCTTATATATTTAAATTTATGTATGTTTAAAATATTTAATGATATTACAAATTATCAATTCATTCAAATCAAAATATTTTTTTAAAAGATAGACCAAATATTGAAATAAAAAGACTAGCGACTCACGATTTTAACACCACAATATATGAAATTTTCAATGAAATAATACTATATGGTTATAAATAGTCTAAAAATATATTAGGATATTTAAGGGGATCAATTTTTTATTTTTCTTCTATTTTTTAAAATTTTTTTAGTATTTTTCAGTCAGGCTAAAAAACCGTCCGGTTTTCTGAAAACCGTTCCGGTTTCCGGTCTAACTCCGGTTTCCGGCTTAATAACGGCTCAACTCCGATCCAATCCGGCTCAACTATGTGAACGGTTTTTTGGTCCAAACCGAGCCGTTAACGAGTCCGGATGACGGTTCAACCGGTCCGACCGTCCGGTTCGGTCCGGTTCTTTAATCATTGCCAGAAACCCAGCAAAATGAAATGTATGGATCCGCAACCCCTCCCATTTTAAGCATTGACGTGTATTACAGGATTTCAAAATTCTGAAATTGGCCGAACCTTCATTTACTTCCCAAAATTAATTAATCTATCACCATAGCCTGACTGTGCTTGGGACGCTTGGAATCGCGTTTATTAGTATTTGTAAGTACTCTTCTTATACTTATATAGGACCTAATTATTAAGTTAGACCTATTTTTATATTTGTCAATTTTCTCTATTATATATGAATGCTCCCTCAACATAATCATATATTAAAAAGATGATTATGGTATTTTAGGAAAAATATGTCACATTTTTTATAATTAACTAACTTACCTAACTTCCTTAATCTAATCAAATTAGTTAAATGGGTTTTATATTAAGGATTGGAGGAGTATTTTTTATGTAAGTGGAGATAAAATTTTCCCCACATATTTATCACTTTTATGTGAGGCGGTTTTTCAACAGTTATCCGAATTTGCCACCTGTCGGCACATACGTGTGTGTTTGAAAGCTAATTACTTGACTCGTTCAATTCAAATGGCAGTTGCACCCCATCGTGAGAGCTTTGTGGGCGCATCTCACCGAAAAAATTTAATCCACTGAAATCGAAGCCGCAAGACTCGCCCGCTTGTTGAGATCTTTCTATTGCACTTTATTATTTGGTAATTCATTTATTGTTAATGTTAATTATTATTTTTCTGATATAAAATCAGCTAATGAGGGTGAAACAGAACCATCTTGATTCGGGGGGGGGGGGAACAGAGAGATATTAGCTCCATTTGGGGCTCTCTGGAATCAGTTGGCAGACACTGTTATAGCCATGGCTGATTCAACGACAATTCCCACTCCCAAAAACGCGGCAGAAACTGCCACCGACGTAGGCTCCGCCGCCGCCACCTCCATCTTAACCTTGCATCCGAGCATAATTCAAACTCACATCCTGACTCGCCTCGACGTCTCCGCGCTTGCATCGGTTGCCACCACATGCTCCCAACTCCACGCCGTCGTCTCCCAGGAAGATTTCTGGGCCCACCTCTGTCACTCTACGTGGCCTTCTACCAGTTCTCCACGCATCCGCCACGTCATCCGTCGCTTCCCTCACGGTTCCCGCTCTTTCTTCTACGATTCTGCCACTATTCCACGCCCGAACACCACCATTCCTCGAAACTCGCACGTAAATCTCGACCGCACACCGCAGCTGATCTCCGCCGTTGACCTTTATCACCGCCGTCAACTCTTACTTTCCAGAGTGGTACAGACCGAAACAGTCTCTGATTCGTTCAGGTGCTCGCCCTTCCGGGTGGACATACTTGAACCAGAAGAGGTGGTTCAAACACATATAAGATATCCGGAGAGTGACGAAGCTTATCAAGAGCTAGCGAGGGGCCTGAGGATGAGCTGGATATTAATAGACGCGAGTGGAGGGCGGGCGATGACCGTTTCGAGCCGGATGCCAATAGGTCTCCAACAGTACTGGCAGGGCGGGACGGCAGGGTTCAGCTTCATTTCGGCGATGACCAGCAATGAAGAACCTTTGTGGAAGCTCAAGGTGTGCAGGTTGATGGTGAGGTGCGTGGAGGCGGTGGGTGGGGAAACGGAGGTGAGGGAGGTGAGTTTAAAGATGGAAGGGATAGATGGGAGGACAAAATTGAATGGGAGGGAGAGTTTGGTAATTTTACAGAGACTGTTGGAGGGTAAAAGGGAAAGTAAGAAACAAGCGAGGGAGAGATGCGAGGGGAGAGATCTAGAGACGAGGAGGAGAAGGGCAAGGCCAGATATGGTCCGCCAGAGCCTCGCTATGTTGTCGTTTGTGGCACTTCTATTTGTGTTTGTAGTAAGGAGACCTGGACCTCTTGTGGGGATGATGCGGAAGGTTCAAAATAAAAAATAGTGGTATCTGCCAGTAACAGTCAATCAATACAGATTGATCCAAAATCTAACTCAAATCCAATATTTTACCTTTAGTTTTTTATATAAAAATTCATTTAATATTTAATTTAATCTTAAATATAAAATCTTAATTTACTTTATCTCTCATATTTATCTTTTTTTAAAAGAATAATCCTGATCGTACATGTTAAAGATTCTATCAAATAATAGTTCTAACTAATACACATATTAGTAGATTAATAAGTTTATTTTAGAAAAATAACACATATTTATTACAGATAAGTAATTTAACAAACTTTCTTAATTTACTCAAATTATTCCACTAGTTTTTAGATTAAGCATCAGACTGAAGGTAGCAGCACCTAAAGATACTGAAAATCGAACTGCTAATCCATTGGGCTAGAGAAAGAAGACCGAATAAGGAGAAGCTGGCGTTCCGATCAATAATTCTGATATTGGGATAATCCAATGTGTCTTTACGAATTTCAATATTAGCTGTGAGGTTATGTGGCGAAGATAATTTGTTGAATGGAAATTTGGAGATACCCGATCCAAATGACTAACATATTAGGAGGGAAAGAACTCTTGAATTTATAAATGTAAAATTCTCTTATGTGAGACTCGTAGTAGTGTACTCCTCTCTAGAGCCGATGTTTCTAGCCAATCCACTCTACGGCACTTCACTCCCTGGTCAGAACCCTCTGCAGGTAGTCCTCTCTAGTTGACTGACTCTCAATGAAAAGACCAATGTGAGGAGTATAAGTCTAATTGGAGAACCCAATTTCAAAAAATTAGTTTATTATAAACCCCACGACACTTTACAAACGAGACATGGGAGTTTGGCTTAGCAAGAATGGTGGAGGAGACTATTATAACAACTGTGACGAGGAAATGACGAGTCTAAAACGCACAGTGAAGCTTGCGCAAGAGGGCGAAAACGATGAAAGTGCAAAGGGAATACGCGCACTATGAGCTGCAGCGCAAATCCTGGTCAACTTTAAGGGCAGCTTCAAAGTTTTTGTACAGAAGGACTAACCTAATAATAAGAAAATAATAAGAATTGAATAAAAAGAAAAAAATAGGAACCTAATTCAAAACTTGATGAAACTATAAAGACTTCCAGATTAATTTTTCTGTTAAAATAATATAATTTAATTAAAAATATTTATATTTAATTATGAATATATTAAACTTTCTTCAATTATCTAGTTATTAGTATTCGGCAAAAAATTATTAGTAATTAATCATATTTTATATTTTTTATTCTCTTCTATTAGTCTTTTTGTGATAAATTGTTGTTAATTAGACCTATTTAGATTTTTTTTTATCAAACCATTTATGTTTTATGTGTATCAACTAGGGTTCAGGTCATACGTTAAAATTTGATCATACTTTTCGAGAGCAAGCAATTGAAGTAAAAGAGAGTGTAGGAAAAAGAGATGATATTAAGTCAAAATATAAAACATAGGTGAACATCACTACTACAAAAAAATTGACTTTCAGCGGCGACAAAAGTCGCCGCTGAAAGTACAAAAGTCGCCGCCGAAAGTTTTTTGCGGCAACAAGTCGCCGCTGAAAAGTCGTTGCCGTAGCAGCCGTGGCTGAAAACTTTCAGTGGGGACTAAAAAGGTCGCTGCTAAAAGATACTTTCAGCGGCGACTTTTAGAAGTTTCGGCGGCGACAAATGTCGCCGCCAAAAACACTTTCAGCGGCGACAAAAAAGTCGCCGCAGAAAACACTTTCGGCGGCGACACTCTTGTCGCCGCGGAAAGACTTTTCGCGGCGACAAATGTCGCCGCCGAAAGTGTTTTCTGCGGCGACTTTTTGTCGTCGCTGAAAGTAATGCCTAAGAAGAATTAGCTTTACTAATGCCACGTCATCACCGTCGGTGCCACGTCATCACCGTCGACCTCCACGTCATCGCCATCGGTGACCACGTCATCACCGCCGACCGCCACATCATCACTAGCCACCTCCACGTCATTGCCACATCACTCCTCCTCGCCACGTCATCGTCTAAATATTTTCACCTTAAATGTGTCTTCTTCCAGGTTCGAACTCGTGACCGCCTCCTTTCGTGTCCAACCTTCTTACCGCTGAGCCAGATTGAATTTGTTTATTAATATTGTAAAATAAAATATATATTATTATATTATACTTTCAGCGGCGACTAAAAAAGTCGCCGCTGAAGGTCCACTTTCGGCGGCGACTTTTTGGTGTCGCCGTTGAAAGTCGTCGCCTAAAGTCTGTTTTTTTGTAGTGGAGCTACTTAATTAATATCTATATCTATAATTAGTATATAAAATATCAATCAAATAATTATTGTCAAAACAGCCTGGCATGTAAAATCTAATTCCAATTACAATTTGTTCTTCAAAATAATAATAATATTCAAATGACATATTTTTCAAAAGCAAGCTGGTGCCAGACTTAAATCATTGCTACTCAATCAACCCTAAAAATAACAAGAACAGTCATATGAGAGGGGGGAAATTTGGAAATGAATACACAAATTATAATTGAAAAATGAATTCACATTAATAATTAAAAGAACCACATGAGAGTTTCAAAACCTAAAATTAGGGCATCATAAAAACATTAAAAACCCTACTCACACCTCTTCTAGCTCAGATTATGGGATTCAAACCACAACATCTTTCTTCCAAAACAAAGGAGACTAGCCATTCACGTGGTCAGAATACATGGGAGAAATTAACGACTAGTGAGAAAGTGGATGCTTTTGGTGTGTGCTGCGCTGTGAGTGAGTGAAGAAATGAGTGACCATAGAAAGAGATTTTACATTGAAGATTATGATATGATGGTATTCGTCCAAGAGAAGAAAGTTTCATATTAAGTCTCTAATGTGATCTAAAGCCCTCTCTAAGTTAGAAAATTTTACTGATGAGGCAATACTCTTACAAATCTATCTCTCCTCCCATGCACGCATTGACCACTCTGGCTATGGGTGTATAATTTTACTTTATTATATTGACTTTATTTATATGACGTATAATGTATATGAAATAGGGATAAAGTTGAAAAGTTATTGAATTTTAAATAAGAGTTAATGAAATTTAAGTTTTTTTTGTATCTGTATGAAACATGTTGAAAGTGACTTATAAATAGGATAAGAGAAGTATCTGCTTTCATGGAAGATAAAGGAACCCCATCTCATTTGGGCATCCTTACAATAATTTTCCCTGAAATTGAATTCCTTAGCTTAGAGAGACCACAGAATGTCTCATTCTTAAGTGTGAGTCTGTTAACTTCTCATATTAAAGATGTCACGAACCCCAAGTCCTCCTTCTACCTACAAAAATTAAGAATTACGGGCTTCAAAACGTAAATTACAAATTTTCATTGACTTCTTGCGAGAGTTTGGCTATAACATTATCTGTTAGCTGGGAATGAAGAGAAATCACCAGAAATATCTTAACTGATTCATGAGTCATTCCACCTCATTATATATGTGCCTTGCTTATGAGAATGTTTCAAAAAAAGAAAGTCAATCTTCTAACGAGAAACAAACATCAAAGAAAGACTACTTCGATTGAGAGGATATTTGAGTGAAAACTAAAATATGGTTTTAAAAGTAATTTTATAGTATATGAAATAAATATGTAAAGAAATTTATCTCGATTCGTGAAAAAGTATTTTTTTAAAATGCTTTTGAGGTGTTCCAAACATTCCTTGTGATATTTTAAATTTTACAAATTACAATGCTCAGTTTGAGAACTTTCATTCACTACATTCGTTTAATTCGTGACCAATTACTTATTAAACCCAACTTTTGTCCAATGTCAAGCTTTTCACGTCAGCTCAATCCTATCCACAATTAACTCCCTAACACAAATACATGGGAGAATGATGATCAAGAACTTTCTAAGAAAATTAATTTGAAAAATAAGGATTTATAACTAAAATTTTTAAATTCACAACTCAATTAAACTTTCATATTTACAACATAAAATTTTTTATTTCACATTAATCTAATTGTCATTGCACATACATGCATGATGTTTGTTGATAATTGATTTTTTTTTAATTTTACATCCCGTGCATTTATTAGTAGTTTTCCTATAAATATAAAGATAGTTCCCGCAAAAGCTTTCATTTTTTTTTTTTGGCTGAACAAGGGTATATTTCCATTAAATGCAATATATTGTTAAATGTGGGAAAGTTTCCAAAAACTTAATTGTGGGCGTTTTAAGATTGCACTTGTTCTAATATGGGCTCCACACTTTTGAGTTTGGGCCAAAAACACGGTACGAAAAAACAAACTAAGTAATTGAACAGCCGTTGTGCACCGAAATTTTTTGGGGGGGGGGGGGAGGCTAAAAAAATTAACCAACGATTACTTTAATCAATAAACTATTTACTCGCCAATTTCATGCCTAACTTTTTTTGTTTTTTTCAAAAATAAGGAACAACCTGTTTAAACTTCAAAGTTATCTTTAAATTTAAAAGAAGTGATCGTTGTTTAGCTTAAATCATTTACTCCGTAAACAGACATAAAAACGCATTTTTTTTAAGAAACTGATTATTTCAAAAAGCTAATCAAAGCAACTTATTAAAATAAAATAAACTGAAAAAGGATTGTTTTTCTAAAAAAAGAGTAATTAGTTTGAATAATAACTGATAATTACAAGCTTAATTACAAAATAATTAAACACAAGCAAATTCCTGATGTTTATCTTGATTAAATTTAACAAAAAGTAATTAAAATTTTTTCTTCTAAATGCAAACAAACACCAAAATCCATCATAAATATTTAGATGTATGGAAGGAATCACAATTGTTAATTTCCCTCACATATTTAACTTGAACTCCTTAAGATGACTTCCAAAAAACTAATCCAAACACCTCATAATCACAAAGGTGACAGATTTTTTTTTTGGACCAAAAACAAAGGTGTCAGATACAAATGTATGTGTCTTTCTACTTGGGTTAAACCATTTTGCTTATATATTTTTCTCACCGTAAAGTTGTGGACATTTTTTT